CCCTGGCCAGTGTGTCCAATAGCCAGGAATGATGGGAGTTGAAATCTAGCAACTCCAGGAAGGCCAGAGGTTAGCCACTTTTCCTTGAACAGGCTATATGTTAAGGGGCAGTGCCAGATATATGTCTCTGCATCTAATCTGCTCCTTCAATCCACAGGGATATCGTAACTTCTACGAGCGATACAGGGGGGACTACAATCGGTTCTACGGGCGTGATTATGAGTACAACAGATACAGAGACTACTACAGGGACTACAACCGAGAGGTAAGAGGCTGCATACCATGAGTTGTATCCAATGTTAGTCCTACGAAGAGTAGACCTATTGAAACGAATGGACACGGCTAACTTAGGTCAGAGGGCCTGCTCTGACAGAAGCTAGTTGGACACAGTCCCATGCTTTCAGAATAGTGGTTTTTGCACTTTGCTGTCTCTGCTCTTGGAGACAACTACTGCTGGAACTCTCATCTGCTTTGGTTCCAGCAGTGGTGCATCTAAAGGCATTCCAGACCACAAAAGCTCTTGGTACAAGAAGTCTTAGTTCCAGGATTTCTTAAGAGAAACTTTTGACTTTGACTGGAGTAAAGAAAGGGGTTGGGGGGGTGAGAAGTAGGTAATTGATGTAGGGAGATTCGGTTCCTAATCCACCTCTGCTTTCAAAGCAACAACATGGCATTATTTAAAATCACCGCTTCAGTTCCCCACTTCTACAATAGGACCATTTATCTTAGATTATCCATTATTTGTGTACTCCAAGCTTGCCCAAACCAGGTGCCCTCCAGAGTCCAAAGCCTCTGGAGGGCACCAGTGCATTCACTCCATCAGCATGTAAATAACATGAATGGTGCCCAACCTGTTTTTTGTAGGAGATGAGAGGCCCTTTGGTCTTGAGCACACTCATACCCTACTATCAGCATAATAACAACTCTCATTGTCCTTTTTTTTTAGTGGCAGAACTACTACCAAGACAGAGACCGATACTACAGGAACTACTATGGAGGATACCAGGGGTACCGGTGAAACCCCAACCATCTCCACCCTTCAGCCAACCAGCGAGGCTCTATTTGGGGGGCAGGGGGGGTGTCTGTCACTTCCCAAGACACAACATAATGGATGTGGGGCTGTTGGGGAAAAGTGGCAGCAGGGTTGAGGGGGGCGGGAGGGGGAGGTTAAAAAAAAAAAGAAATTGTAAATTTTTTTTAAAGTTTGTTGAAAAGAATATTGTCTTATTCTATAAAAAAACAAAAAAAACATTTCAAACCTAGTTTAGACATTTGTAATCAAAACGTTTGCGCAAGCAGGAGAGCAGCACTTAGCGCTGCCTGTGATTGGGCAGGAAAACATGACATCATAGAGCAGCTGGACGGGAAGGGAGGTGCAGGGCTCACATGGCAAAGGGGGAGGCGCAAATGAGGGCATGCAGGGATAAGCGGGTGGCTGTTTGGGCGGAGGGAAGGGGACGGGATACAACTTTTGGCTTCTCCTAACTCGTGCAGAAAAACCGCACTTCCTGAGCATTGTCACTCTGTTTTCCCAGGCCAGGGTGGTGGCGGCATGAATGTCCTTCCTTCTAGTTGAACCAAGGAAACCTTTCCCCATCCTGTAGCCACCAAGAGCGAACAAGAGAGGTCTTGATGTTCCTCTTTCAGAGTTCGGCCTACATTTTCAGACAGTGAATTGCCAGGAGGCTTGTTTGACCTTGTGTCGCTCAGGCCACAGAGGCTTTTCTTGAGCTTTCTCCCTATTTCTGCAGGCGCCTCACCTTGAAATCTCAGTGGCTTGTTTATTTGTGACCCATCAGATGGAAGGAAGTGCAGGAGTTTAGTTCGCCACGTTCCCAAGTTCTTCCCGGGTCAAAGCAAGCTGCCTTGGGTGCCCTTCCTGCACCCTCCTTCCTTTCCTCCCAAGGCTTAGTTGGCCCTCTCATCATCTCTATAGTATCTGTCCTCTTTTTTTCCTTTTTCTTAAGTGGAGTGGAAAGAACATTTTTCTCAGGGTTTCTGCAGGATCTTCTCATTGTTAGCACCTAACATGTATATAAGCAAAACTGCAAGCATGTAACTGTCACCTTTTGAGAAGCTTAGTGCTGAGAATACCAACTGGTTTTATACAGTCATTGTGGGGGAAGGGGGGTGTTCTGTCCTTGTGGTTTTGATAAACTGGTAGCCTGTGTAAATAGGAACATGGGGAGGGGCGAAGAGGATCTGCGCTTGTGGGGTGGGTGGGGTGACAGGTGTGTATATGTGTGTGTGTCCTTGAAATATGTTGGCTTCTTGATCCTGGCCCTTTGATGAAGCTTAATTATTTTTCCAGTTCCTAGAGGCTTCTATTGATGCTTCCTCTTTTCTTTTTTTTAACCACACTAGTGTGCCTAGCTATAATTCTTAAAGCATCCTCTTCCATGTTTGTCCAGTCGTGCAGATGGAAGAAAATCTTAGGCTTCTTGGGTCTAGTGGCTGGTGTTCTTTCCGGGATGTGGGTGGGCATTGATGTGTGTTGCAGGGGGACCTATTCCCCATCCTGTGGGTTGATTTATTTTGCTTCATCGTAGGCCTTCTTCCACAGAACGATGGGGGACTTTTTACAACAGGATGTTCTTCCTTACGACACATTGTGTAAACGCTCCCTAGTTTCTTGGTACTACCTTTTTCCAGCTTGACTAAATTATGTCTGATTCCCAGACACAGGGATTGAAGATTTGCCTCTGTTCCTTGTGATTCACTGTTTGAAATTTTAACACTTGTTTTTCCTTTTTAGATGGTTGGGTTTAAATTTATTTTGTTTTGTTTTTTGGCTACACAAGAATTCTCTTCCCAGCCTTTGCAAACGGTTCTTGTCTCCATCCCCATTAAGAATGCTCATTCCTGCATCCCAGCCTGACAGAACAGAAGTGGGGAGCCTGCCAAGTCATTTGAAAAGGGGGCTGATGTGGGGTGGGGAGGGAGTGTGGAGGGCAACAGCCGCCTCCTCGCCCTCTTGCCTTTTTTCAAATATAGGAGTTAGAGAGAAGCAGGATTCTTCTATCTCCGTGCATGTGTGTATTCAGAATGTGTGGTTGTGTGACAACTGTTTTTATAACAAAGTTAACTGGTATTTTACATGCTTCAGGCCACTAGAAAATATTCTTCTGGGGAAGAAGGGGTTGTGTGTGAGAGAGAGTGCGCACGCAGATAGCTTCATTAACTGAACACTCACATGGGAGCGTGATAGATCGATGCTGTGGAAAGTTGGTCTTGGGCGTGATTACCAGCATACAGAGTGCCAGCAGCCTTGGTGAAAGCAAGAAGGTCCTCGGTCACGCCTCTCCAGGGGATCACTTCGAGAAGTTGCTGATGCTGTTCAGTGGAATAGCTTTTTGGAGCTATGGTCCTTTTTAAAAGTAGAATCTCAAAAGAATGACGCACACTTGTCTTCTTGTGTGTGGGGAGGGAATGACTAAAACTGCCGCATCCTAGACCATCAGACTGAGAGATCTTAGCAACTTTAGTAGATGTCTTCTTTTTTCTGCACATTTTTGTAAAAAAAAAAAAGGAAAGGAAAAAAAAAGAAATGGTAAAAATGACAAAAAATAGAAAAAAAAATTCAGCCTGTTTAAAATCTGTTAGTGTTTTTCATGATTGTATGTCTTAGTTGCTGTAGATGGAAAGCTCAAGCGAAACGGAGGCTGTAAATGTTTTTACGAACTGTAAAACGTTTAAGTGGCCAGTAAAAAAAGGGTTTTGCCATTGAACATGTAACTGTGTGGTTGTTTACATCTGTAACTTTCTTTCCTTAACAATTCTGGCATATGTAGGTTGAAAAACTTCCATTTTTAGAATAAATAATCATTCGCTTGACTCCACATCCTTCTGTTGCTGCGCTGACTTCTTAGGTGTCGTTGTTTAATGCTTTTGGCTTGTCTGTTCTCTCTCCCTCCCCCAAAAATAAAAAAACTCAAAGACCAAAGCAATTTGAGGTTCCTCTTCATTCAGGTGAAAGCATACGGATACAGTCTGTGGCAGCCTTGGGCAACCTGGTGTTCACCAGATGTTTTGGAGTACTCGCAACTTCTAACCACTGACCATGCTAGTTGGGGCTGATGGCAGTAAAATAACAATGGGAGTGTGCAAAGTGTGAAAGGCTGTTTCGCATATCTTTTTGTGGGTGATGCAAAATAAGCAATTTGCATCCATTGGTGAAGATAGGATTTCAAACAGCGGTTTTACACTCCAGCCCTTTGTTTAAACGAAATGAAATAGTATTCAGTGGAGCAGTTTATCAGCACAGACTGCAGTGAAGAGAGAAGCAATATATATTTAGGCTCACATAATGGGGAGGGGGGTTTGCCAGGTTGCATTAACACCAACGTGGTCCAGGTATGACGCTGCTCTGCCCTTTGCGTGTTAAGTCTTGAGTTTCATAATCTTTTAATAAAAGTGCTTTGTCATTTTAAAGCTGGTAACAGTACAGGATAAGGATCTGCATGTGCTCAAACTGTACACCTGTTAGAGACTACAGTTCTGCTTTCCCTTTACAGAGGGTGAAAGGTGACCTGCACATGTTTCAACCAGCTGGTATTCAGATCTAGTTGTTTTTTAAAATATGGTTTCCTGTGCAAACACACACACACACCCCACTAATACTTTATCTATGGGCTCTCAATTTTCTAAATACTTCCCCCTTCAAAGCTGTTTGGACCCTGTATCTGCAAAAAGATTTATTTATTTTTTCGTTCCAAGGAGCAACAGTTGAGCTAGTTGGTGACTAGCAACTCTTGTACATTTGGCCTCATCTAAAGGGCAATTTTGTATTACATGCTTATCTATCTTTCTCTAGGGCCATGACCCCTAACCACCCCATCCCATTCTACCTTTACAACAATCCTTTGAGGTAGAGCTGAGAGATGTACAAGACACATCTTGCAGAGGGGATCTGAACATTTTTGGGGCCGGAATAACCTTTACCAGGAGGTTCAGGCTCAATTAAGCCTGTGGTGAACTTCTTTCTTCCCTAATTTTTTTAAAAAAAAAAACTTCCCATGCCAGCCTTGAAAAAATGCAAAGGACAGCAGGCACCACATTCAAAACAGGTTGTCATTTCAAGAAACATTTAACAAACCAATGCTATGGAAGTTAATAATGCAGCAGCAAGGTACACAATAAATGCGATTAAATAGCAATTAAATTAGAGTGAAGTGGCTTCCAAGCTCGCCTGAGGCAAAAGTTCTGTGGAAGTGGAAAGCTGCCATTGCCTGTCTGAAAATTAGCCTCGAGCTCGTCGTCCTGTCTTAAATCCTAACGCCGCCATATCGGATGCTGGCGCTGAGCTTGACTTAAGAAGGCCTCATGTTGCTTTGGCGGGCTCTTCAGTGATGTTCTTTGAGAAGCGGGGAGTGGCCGCCATCGTGGGTGCTGGCGCTGAGGTTGCCCCGGACGCCGCCATCTTAGCTCGCGGGAATTTTGCCTAAAATCTGCAGAAGAAAATTTTCATAAATGGTTTTAAACTGTATTTAATGTTGTGCTTTCTCTGGAACCTTAGGGTGAGGGGCGGGGGATTATTATTAATGAATCAGCAACAGTTTTATTATTACTTTCAGTTATATTTTACAATACAAGGACGAGCAGGTTCAAAAAAGAACTAGGAAGCGCCATCTTGTTACTCTAGACTCCAACTCCCATAATCCCTGACCGCTGGCCTTCTTGGCTGGGGCTGATGGGAGTCGGAGTCCTAACGGCTCACAGGTTCTTTCCCCCCCCCCATTTTTTCCCTTCTTTTCGTATCTCTATGGGCTCATCTTCATCATGGCGGAGCGAGGCCGTGGTCGTGGTGGGTCGTTACGCCTTCCTCCGCCATGTTGGGTGCTGGCGCTGAGGCCGCCTAGGGCGGCGCCATGTTAGGGTTGGCTTCCGTCTCCTCTCCTGCTACCGCTACTTCTGCTGCTGCTGCTTCAGCACATGGCGGGGACCGAGAGCGCGGCGACCCCCGGGAGCTTGCTGAATGGAGGCGGAGGTGGGGACGGGCCAGAGGAGAAGCGGCCCCGGCTTGGGGCGGCCCCAGCTCCCTCCGGGTCCGGACCCCAGGGGAACCGCGTGACGGTGGTGCTGGGGGCGCAGTGGGGGGACGAGGGGAAAGGCAAGGTGGTCGACCTGCTCAGCCTCGACGCGGACCTCGTCTGCAGGTGCCAGGTGAGAGACGAGAAGAGAGCCTGCGGGAGCAGTGGGGGTGGGGGGTGTTGGGGGTCTTGCTTAAGACAGGGGTGGCAAGCCTGGGGCTCTCCAGGTGTTGTTGGACTCCAACTCCCATCAGCCCCAGCCAGCAACGCCAGCGGTTGGGGATGACGGGAGCTGGAGTCCAGCAACACTTGGAGGGACACAGCTTTCCCTCAACGACCCTGGTTTAGGATCCTAAAGTTGGATGGAGGGTCCTCAGAAGTGATCTGGGGCAGATCCACACACTATACATTTAAAGCACACACCCAAGAAAAGTGCTGGGGACTGTGTTTTGCTTTTGAATCATGGTGTTGGAGGAGACTCTTGAGAGTCCCATGGACTGCAAAAGATCAGACCTCTCCATTCTGAAGGAAATCAGCCCTGAGTGCTCACTGGAAGGACAGATCCTGAAGCTGAGGCTCCAATACTTTGGCCACCTCATGAGAAGAGAAGACTCCCTGGAAAAGACCCTGATGTTGGGAAAGATGGAGGGCACAAGGAGAAGGGGACATCAGAGGAAGAGATGGCTGGACAGTGTTCTCGAAGCTACAAACATGAGTTTGACCAAGCTGCGGGAGGCAGTGGAAGACAGGAATGCCTGGCATGCTCTGGTCCATGGGGTCACGAAGAGTCGGACACGACTAAACAACAACAACAACAACAGGTGTTAAGGGTGCTGGGGATTGTAGCTTTTTGAGGGGTAAAGTACAGTTCCCAGGATTCTTTTATGAGCTTAAAACGATCTGCCTGAAGCATTCCTGATAGGTGGACACCCAGTTTCTACCATGAAGGATAGACCACCACTTTCCAAGGCTTTGTAATGTCAGGATGTTCTCCCTAAAGTTTAGTTCAAATGTCTTTTCTTGTAATTTGAACCAGATCTCACTCCAGGGGTGGGGAACCTTTGGCCCTCCAGATGCTGTTAACAAACAAGACCCATTACTGTTGGTTGCGCTGACTGGGGCTGATGGGAGCTGTAGTTCAGCAACATCTGGAGAGCCAAAGGTTGCCTGCCTTATCCTAGAGCAGGGATACTGGGACACCAGATATTGCTGGACTCCAACTCCTATCAGACTCAGCCAACATAATCAGTTGTCACAGGTTCTGGGAGCTGTAGTCCAGCAGTACTTGTAGAGTTGCAGGTTTCTCATCCCTAACTTTGGAGCAGTAGAAAATCAGTTTGGTCCATCTACGTTGTGATAGCCCTTCAAAAACCTGAAATATCTCTATTTCATTTTGCTACCAAAATAAACAAATCTCCCTCCTATAACAACACAACCCAGTTCTCTTCTGTTGCGGTTTGTGTGTGTTTCTGTAAGCATTTATAGATCACTTTTCAAAAAACACACTCTTCAAAAGTGGATTGTTTGTTTAGTTGCCTCTCAATTAACCATACCCTACAGGCTGTTAACAAATTAAAAATGCCGCCAATTAAGTTTTGCTGTTTTTTGTAACAATGTTTGTCTCTGCAGGGTGGCAATAACGCAGGCCATACCGTTGTGGTGGATTCGGTTGAATACGATTTCCACCTTTTGCCCAGTGGGGTTATCAACCACAATGCCACGTCGTTCATTGGTAAGGATTCTTCTGTGCTTGCCACGATTGTGACAGGCAGCCAAATCAGGTGCAGTGAGGGGGCAGATTTGGGGATGTGTGTTCAAATCCCTGCTGTGACCAAATGGGTGGCTTCAGACCCTGCATAGACTCTTTCCCTCCCCCGCAGTGGATATTCTCCTTCTGCAGTTTCACCTGTTTCTCTTTGTGTCCCTAGACAGAGTTTCCCCCCCCCAAAACCCTACCCTTCTTTCCACTTGGGTGCTTGGGGTTCAGATTATGTGTATTTAAAAGTTGCTGGACACCACTCAGCATGGGAGATTGAACCAGCATAAAGTATAGCCCTATCTGGGAGAGAGATGGGAAGGGAGTGGCTCTGTTGTTCTTTGTGGGACACTGTATTGCTCTAGATCAATTTGGGTTCCCAAACTGTGGTCTGCAAGCTTCATTCAGGTAGCCGGTGGCATTTGTGTGTATTTGTGGCTGAAGACAGGAGACGGCACATCCATCAAGTTAGATACCGTATTTTTTGCTCTATAAGACTCACTTTTCCCTCCTAAAAAGTAAGGGGAAATGTGTGTGCATCTTATGGAGCGAATGCAGGCTGCGCAGCTATCCCAGAAGCCAGAACAGCAAGAGGGATTGCTGCTTTCACTGCGCAGCGATCCCTCTTGCTGTTCTGGCTTCTGAGATTCAGAATAATTTTTTTCTTGTTTTCCTCTTCCGAAAACTAGGTGCGTCTTGTGGTCTGGTGCGTCTTATGGAGCGAAAAATATAGTATTCATATGGGGGGGGAATTCAACATAGTGCTAAGGAGATCACTCTGTCAGTGCTATGCTTTTATCTTCAGGAGAACATTTTGTTTTCCTGTCCATTCTGCTTTTTTTAAGTGTGTATTTTACATTTGACCTGGGCCTGAAATGTTTAATTTGGGTATTTTGTAATGCTTTATTTGTCGGTTTAATTTCAGTTGTAAAACTGCCTTGAGATTTTCAGATGAATCGAGAGGCATACGAACCATTTAAATAAATAAATGAGAGGTTGTCTTCACTTTCAGGGAACGGTGTTGTCATCCACTTGCCAGGACTCTTTGAGGAAGCTGAGAAGAATCTTAAGAAAGGGTCAGGTGAGTGACACCTCCCACACAACAACGTGAGTTCTCCACGCCTGTTCTAAATAAGGGAAACAAAAAGGAAAAGTGTGTGTGTGATGTGCTGTAAGACTATGGTACAGCCCCACACCTTTGTCCCTTCTGTATTAAATTTGGCTTTCCCATGGTGGACTGATGGGGAAGTCCACTAGCTGTGGTGGTGGTGGCGGCGATAGCGGGCGGAGGAGGGGGCGGCGGCGGGGCTTGAGGAGCCGTCGCCGGGAGTTGCTGCTGCTGTTGTTGCTGCTGCTGCCCGGACATGCCGGCCTCCTCCTCCTCCGCTGTCTCGCGCTCCTCCCTTTTGCACGCGCTGCCCCGCCGCTCGGCACCACCACCGCGGAGCCGCCCCCGGCTCGACGCGGATCCTCGCCGCCGCCGCCTCTCACCACCCGACTCGCCCGACTCCTTCCCACGGCACACCAGCCAATGTCTCACGGCACAGTAGTGTGCCGCGGAACACCGGTTGGGAAACACTGCACTAATAGAAAGCCCTGTTGAGCTAAGAGATGGAAATGTTTAAAAGCCACAAGTGTTCTGTTTCCACAGGGCTAGAAGGCTGGGAGTCTCGGACAGTGATTTCCGACCGTGCTCATCTGGGTGAGTGTCCTGGGAGGAATTTGGTGGTGGGAGTGAAATAACAGTTAGAAAGAGACTGACATATCTGTCATCTTGCATCTTTCCCAGTGTTCAACTTCCACCAGGCTGTGGATGGAATCCAGGAACAGCAAAGGCAGCTGCAGGGTGGCAAGAAGTAAGTAGGGTGCTGGGGGTGTGGCTCAGTGGCGTAGCATGGGTTGCTGGGGCCAGGGTAAGCATGGGCATGTGTGTCGGGCGGGGGGGGGGCACCGGACCAGCTCCTGCCACTGCCAGAATGAACCTAACCCCCACCAGAGCACAGTGGGGAGCCCGGTCAGATGATATGGCCCTTGGCGGGTGGAGGGGAGTCTTTTTCTGTCTCTCTGGGCACTCTGTCCTCTAGGGCAGGACTGCAGATCCTTTGGCCTCCAACTTCCATCAACACTAGCCAACATAGCTCATAGTCAGGGATAATGGGAGTTGTAGTCCAGAAGTCCCATAAGCCTAAGGCGTCATTGCCAATAGCCAGGGCTGATGGGAATTGGAGTCCAGCAACATCTGCAGGACCACAGGTTCCCCATCCTTGCTTTAAATAAACAGTGACCCTTTGCCACACTGGTATTTGGTAATAGTGCTGTTGCAAAGGTCCCTTGTTATCGCATATACATTTGAGCTTTGCCACAGATCTAGCATGGGCTCGACACTATGAAACTTGCCTATTTATTTATTTAAAGCAGCGTTACCCTGCTTTTCAGCTAAAAGGGCCCCCAGAGTAGTTTTACAGATCCATTTGAAAAAAGACAGTCCCTGCTCTCATCTTACACTCTAAAAGACAAAACACGAAAGGAAAAGAGCTTGGGAGGAAGGCAAACAAACTCAATACATTATTTCTTAGTTACGGAGTTCTTATCATGACCAGCTGGAATGGAAAGATTTCAAGACAGGTAGAGCCAAAAGTCGCTGGTCTTTGAGAGCAGAAGCCCTGAAGTCCCATCTCTCGTCCTCTCCTGTAGCTTGATGTTAGTGGAGGCTGGTCCATTAAGGCATATGGGTGCTGCCCCACCGACCTGTCTGCCCCCAGCCAACCCTCTGTTCTTACCTAAAACCAGGCCGGGGGGCGGGCCCACCTATCAGGTTCCTCCTCCTCCTGAGTCTCCACATTGCCCCTTGTAAAACTCAGCAGGGAGGAAGAGAAAGATGGGGG